CTGTGAGATCTATTTATCAATTGAGTAGCCGAACATCTCTTAGAGAAAAATTTAAAGAAATCGGCATTTTGACTGTTGCTTCTCAATTCATTTACAATTGTATACTCCTCGTTAAAAATAATATCAATTTGTATACCAAAAACAGTAACGTGCATAATTTTAACACAAGGAATAGAAATAAGCTTGCATTGCCACCCTACAGGTTACAGAAGGTTTACCGATCTTTTATGGGTCAAGGTATACATTTTTATAATAAAATTCCTGATGCCATTCTTGAGTTACCCATAAATGAGTTCAAGTGTCACATTAAAAATTGTTTACTTAAGAAAGGCTATTATACTATTAAAGAATACTTAAATGACAAAACTGCATGGCTGTAACTGTAAATTTGTTTTGTGTTTGTTTGCAGTGTCGTACAGATAAATTACCTGAATTCTAAGTAACTATTTTACTTGGTTTGAGTGGTTATGGGTAGTCATGCTCTCTTAAAAATCTCTTCGGCGGTGTCGTGTGAGGCGGGTCGTTGCGTTCCCTACAATATGGTTGAGCGAAACGATGGCTGGTTCATGCGTCATGCTCGTGAACGGGTGCTGCCAGCGGAGATGAGTCTGCTCTATACTACTTTATTATTATTATAATGATAATTAATTATTTAAGTTAAATTTAATTTGTAATTGTATTTATACTGTGTGGCACAGCAATCAGAAACAAAAAATTTAGGTGAACATTTGTTATTTCTGAGATAAAGATTTAATGGTGGTGTGGATTCTGGCATGGTTCTCTAGACCTGAACTTTGGTTTTGCAGCGGTGTATCCTTGTCATTCTCTATACAGAGTGAAGGGGGGGGCACTGATGTTGGGTTTGGTTTTGGGTTTGGAGGGCAGTGACAGAGTCGACACTAGTGTTTAGGTAACCACATGCATGTGTCCTACAGTTGTGTTTATAGTTTTTTATAGTAATGTACACTGGTACTTAATTTTTTTTTCCCCTATTTTGCTACCTAGTATCCATATGTGGTTATGGGTAGTCATACTCTCTTAAAAATCTCTTCGGCGGTGTCGTGTGAGGCGGGTCGTTACGTTCCCTAAAAAATGGTTGAGCGAAGCGATGGCTGGTTCATGCGTCATGCTCGTGAACGGGTGCTGCCAGCGGAGATGAGTCTGCTCTTGCTACATTGGGTACTATTAATCGTTGTATTTAACTTTAATGGTACATTTGTTTTTATGCTTAAACAGTGGGACACGGCATTCCTAAACTTTTTTTCATTTTTAAATCTGTTTTTTATATTTTTTATTTTATAGTCATAATTGTTTTATCATTTACATTTGTAATGGAAAGTGACTTCATGGGTTATCTCATATTGAACTCATTTTTCAAATTGACGACTCTGTATATAATACAGGGAGAAAAAAACAGCCCTTGCTGAGTTTCTTGCCGGTTCTTCTCAGTACAAGGTCTCCCGCCGTAGATTTGCGAACCGATGGCATAGCTTTTCGACATTCACAAGTGCTTGTAACAGCCTAGACTGAATAAATGATATTGAATTTTTTTGAATTTTACGGCACTGTTGCAAGCGCCATGATCACGGAGTAACTGAAGTAATTATCGAGTGTCTGGAACCCTGTGGTTCGTATGTGTAAAACCGGAAATAATCAAAAAAGTGTCGTGTCGCGATCCGATACTGTAAGTGTTGTGTGTCGAGAACAGTTTCGAGTGAATAGTGAGAATGTGAACAGTGGTACGGGTATCGAACGCAATAAAAGACTTCGTCGGAGGGTAGACCGATATGTCTGCCAATAACAGCCTTACCCGCAATTACTTCAGTTACTCCGTGATCATGGCGCTTGCAACAGTGCCGAAATATCGGAAACTCGCTAAAAACAAGGTACATGGTAACAATCCCGTAAATAACTTATATTACTATAAATATGATGTGGTCTTCCTGATAGTAAATCACCACCATAGCTTACAGACACTTGCGATACCAGATTACATCCAACGAACGACGATTGCGAAAGCTGCTTAACTTCATAGATCGCATGCCGAACTGAACTTTCATATCACAAATACACGTAGTTTTCTGAATTAAATGTTAAAATATAGCTTTTATAATATTCAAGCTTAAACGCTTTATAATAAATTAAAAGCTAAACACTTACTGAAATTAAGAATTTATGATTTTAGCTCAGTGGAGTAGTGAATGTTTAATAATTAACTAAATTTAATATCAAAACATAAAATGTTAATATTTTACAAGTTAACTGAACTTGAAACTTGATAATTAAGTTGAATTGAGTTGTAACAATTTTCCATTTTGACTGTGATAGAAAATTAATATGTTTAAGACATTTTAGTCTGCTTCTACGCAACATAAATTTTATTATTAGAACCAATTTTCGGGAACATAATTCATCATTAATTGCCAGTGGATGGACATAAAATTGCCAGAAGGTGAAAATGAAGTTTTATTGCGTGATTTATTTAGGTGAGACAATAAATACTAATTAGATTGCCGTTAGCGTCGTTATAAATAAATCCTAACAAGTAATCATGTTAGATGTAAGTAAGTTTCTCTTTTTAAATAAGTAGCTCTGAACGTACACTTAGTTATACTTATGTCCAAAAATGTTTTTGCAAAAAAGTTTTTATTTTATTATTTCCTGTGGCTTTAACTTTTGTAATATACAACTCGGCATTAAAATCTGTGAGTGAACAATCATCCCTATTTCCCCACCCTTATGGTATGATTTTTGTTTCCAAATTTATATGGGAGCAATTTCGGAGTCTACCCTTTCCAATGAATAAGAATTATCAAAATCGAACTACTTTGTAAAAGGTTATGCTTGGACATACATAAAAAAATATACGCATCGAATTGATAACCTCCGCCGTTTTCTCGTCCGTTGAAAAATAGGTCATATTTGTAGTGATCACCTACATCAATTTACTTATTTATATGTTATATGTTTATAATTTTTCCTGCAATAGAAGCACACTTGGGCTGTCTATCAATTTATTTTCTGCACTATCGTTGGAAGAAATTGCAACATGAAATAATTCACAAAATATTCCTGTTATTCGTTTTGGCAGCATACAATTGTTTTCACAAGTTTATCTTATTTGATAAACAGTTTTTTTTGTATCATAATTTTAAACATAGAGACGCCGTTTTAAGGCATCAAAGTGATTTATAATCTGAAACAAAGAAATGTTATTTGCCTGCTGATTTTTCATTTATTCTGCTGCATTGAATGTGCCAAAACCACTGTACCTTAAACTTTGTTAATTAATTTATTTACTCTTTTTTGTTTTGCAACAAATGGCGGACTTAATTACACATGGCTTTCTCTACCAGTCAACTATCGGGCTAAGCAGAGACATTATGCGGTAAAGTTAATAAAAGCATTGTAGTAAAAGAGAAAGAAAATTTTATTAATTGTTTGTTGTTATATTTTTTTTTTATAGCGAGATAGGCAAATGACTCTACCCCACCTGATGTTAAGTGGTGATAAAGTCCAAACGCGAAGATAATGCATTGATGCAGAAGTTAAGACCACGTAAGCATTTATTTTGGAGGTAGGATCAGGGTAGGCAACGGCGCTAGTGTTAATTTTTGTATCGCAAGTGTCTATAGGCTATGTGGCCGCTTACCATTAGCAGGGCCATAAGTTGATTTGCCACCCTTTTAACATAAAAAAATAATTAATAACGATGCTAATTACTTAACATGACAGGTACGAAAAGAAGTATCGCCTCCAACTACTATAATGACTGTAAATATGCTGCAACTTTTCGTTGGAAGTTGGATTAGAAAACTGTACGGGTTTACTAACCCAGCAGATGTTTGGTTGTTTTGTTTTTAGATTAACAAGGCATGACTTCTTTCAGAGCTCCGTCAAGATAATTATTACCTTATATTTGTATATTTGTGAGTCTAATGAATCAATTTAGATTAGGTTCTTTAGTTTTTCTAAGTAAAAGGTTTTCCCACGGCAACACTCTGTGAGACGTCAATTACGAGTAGTTCTTAGGTTCAATTTAACTTGATGCTATCACTTTTATGGGCTGCGCAGACAAGGGACTTTTGCCCTGCGTGGACAAAAGTCGCTGAATCGTGAAAATATTTCCGCCGAGGACTTGTCACGAACTCAACGCACACGGTGTGCGAACTGCGAATATTTTAAGCCCCATTATATCTATGGAATTATATCTATCACTTTTAAAGATTAAATATTTAATCTTTGAGTGAGCTTAAAAGTGTACTTTAAAAGATTAAATATTTTATCTTTATAAGTGATAGGAAAATATTTAATCTAAATATTTTATCTTAAAAGGTAATAATCCGTTACAACACAACGTAATCTGAGAATATTTACTTTCATAGCGTACGCTTCTCTAAGTAGGTAAGGTATTGTTTAAACGAGCCCTTTATAAGAATTAAGTTAATGTCTTGTAAAAAGTGGAAAAAGAAAATTACAAAATAAAAACCGATTTCATAAAAACAAAACCCCTAAAAAGTAGAAAAAATGTACACCTTATTTGTCAAATAAACATTTGGAGGCGGTGCCTTATATGTTGATAAATCTGAGTTACAATTTGCTGCTTGGGTTGGCATGACACCAACACCAAATGTAAATTTGACTTAAAATGTACTTTAGATATATGTAAGTAAAGAACCAATTTAATTGAAGTGAAAACTTCTTTAGCGGCGTTGTACACTTTTTTTATGGATAAAAAATGTTAAACTCGCGTCATGACACGTGGGTTGATCGCATCACAGGCCACGTGTCCTGATCGAAAACAATAAAATTGAAAAGGTTGTTGAATTTCATTATATTGGACGAAACAAGTCTCTATCTAGGACGTCCAGGTCGCAGCTTTATTGCGAAGAAAATGCACTTTTTTACAATAGATGTCGCTAGGTGCGCTTAAATGAGAAATTCTGAGAGATAAACTTTTTTTTACTTTTGAGTATATTTGTTTCTATATTTTATGTTACCTTTTTTCAGTTCCCCAACCTCGTTCCTCAGTTGTATGTTGGTGCCGTCTTCTCTTCGCCACAGGATGCGTGGTAATGGCCTGCCACCAGCTCTGCAGGACAAGCTTACATCTTGACCCTCTCTCGCCACCACATCTCCACTGGTGCCTTCATCCATTATATTTGGAGGCACTGCACAACAAAAAAAGTTCTTATAAGCGCTAATTATTCTTGTACATTTTATTGCGTTATAAATAGGTGACAGCGAGGACTACTAAACATATATTATATAAATAAATAAAAATATAAGGGGCCGACTTATGGACAACCTTCCTTGTGTTTTTTGGAAGTCGGTTACAAAGTTGAATTATGATAAATTTATTACTAATAAATGTAAAGTACTCCATGCTTTTTTTTACTGAAAAGATTAATTCTACTCCTTTCGATTCAATCTGCTATAAAAGTTAATTATTAAATCAGTCTTTGATAAATATCTAAAATATAAAAGCGTTGATCCTCTGAAATGAGTGCATATTGAACATTCCATTACATACGGTTATAAAAGGACACATGTACGTACAGGGAAAGGTGATAAAAGCAGTGTAGCCTCGTCACTCTCATTCACACGAATACCCGAACCCGAATGCGTGGGACGGCATTCCCGAATGATTTCGCGTGATTGAAGCTATATACGTGACTTTCCAAGCGGTGTCTGTTATTTGACGCACATGAAAGTGCACGAATCGCTTAATTATGCACCATCGCGTAAAAGAACCATTTCCCAATTGAGCAAATCCAGTTTTTACGTTAAAAAAATTATAAGGAGCTTAGAATAGAGGAGGAATAGAGAAGGAAAATTATAATATCCCTGTTGGTATAATATCCCTGTTGGTAAATAAATCTCGACGGGGAAACAATTATCGTTACCTACTTGTATTTCTTTCTCTGTTTCCAACTTGTAAAAACCATTAATTTTAAATGGAAACTCATTAATAAATTGATTAAAAATTAATATTTATGATTGCCACAGGGAGTGTGCATTACGCTCTATAAATCACTACTGTTGCGGTAATAAAGATTGTTTCGCAATATAATTGCAGTACAAACGTATGGTCTTCAATGCAAATTATAGCATGGAAATACGTGAAACATTAAAACATTTAAATGCTGCTCATCTTTCCCCCCTATGATTGAGCTAAATGATTGATGTTATATGTAATAATATCAATATCTGGTATTTATTCATCACGCACTTTCATTAATGGAGATTTATTATTGTTTAAGCGAATTGATTATAGTGAAAATTCTAAAAGCTGGCCAAGTGTGACCGTGTCCTTGTAAAACTATTTAAAGCTAGCACGAACAAAAACATAATTGCATAACATTTCATTTTATTTTTTATATTTAACTTGTTGACACTGCGAACTACGAACCGCCATTTTTTAAACAAATACTTTCCTAACAATAAAGGACACAACACCAAAAAAAAAACAGTTTAACATCATAATCATTTATTTCATATTTGTATCTTAGGTTTTCACACGCATCACTCATTTAATAAAACTAGTTTTAATGGGTCAATGCACGAACTTTATTTATTTCAAAAAATAAATAAAGTTCGTGCATTAACCCGCTAAAACTAGTTTTATTTAATCATTTATTTCGTTATATTTTTTATGTTTTAAGCATGTAACTGCTCGATGTTTAAATCTAAAGATTTTTTTTATGTTATAGGGGGCATACGAGCAGACGGCTCACCTGATGGTAAGTGATTACCGTCGCCCATGAACACTTGCAACACCAGGAGTATCACAAATGCGATGCCGGCCTTTAAGGAAGGAGTACGCTCTTTTTTTGAAGGTTTTTGGGTCGTATTGGTCCGGAAACACTGCTGGCGACAATATATCCCACAGTTTTGTCGTCCATGGTAAAAAATTTCGACAAAAACGAACGGTTGTGGATAGCCACGCATCAAGATGATGGGGATGAATTTTTTGTCGCGATGTACGATGGCGAAATGCAGCAGCTGGAATTAATCCGAACAATTCCTCAGAACACTCCCCGTGATAAATGCGATAGAAGTGCAGAGCGAAGCTACATCCCTACGCAAAGCCAAAGGATCAAGCTGATCGGAAAGGTCCTGGTCGTCGACGATTCGAGCCGCTCGGCGCTGGATGCGATCTAAAGGGAGAAGCTGGTACTGGGGTGCCCCTGCCCAAAGATGAGAGCAGTACTCCATGTGAGGCCGAACCTGTGCCTTATAAAGTTGCAGTCGGTGGGCCGGTATGAAGTACATTCTCGATCTATTGAGCACACCAAGCTTCTTCGAGGCCAATTTGGCCTTGCCCTCTAAATGATCCCGGAACTGGACGTCGCTCGATATGTCAACGCCAAGAATTCCAATACTAGCTGATGCAGTTAGAGGAGTGTTCTGAAAAAGAGGAGATACGATAAATGGTAAGATTTTTGCGGTGAACGCGCATACTTGTGTCTTCGTAGGGTTAAATTGGACTAGATCATTGATATGAAGAAGAAAGAGCGTAGGTGATAGCACACAGCCTTGCGGAACACCAGCGTTTACGGATTTGGAGTCCGAGCATGCACCGTCGACTGCGACCTTGATGCTCCTATCCGCAAGAAAGCTAATGATCCAAACGCACAGCTTTTCAGGAAGCCCATAAGAAGGAAGCTTCGAAAGAAGCGTTTTGTGCCAAACCCGATCGAAGGCCTTCGCGATATCCAGACCGACCGCCAATGCTTCCCCCTTGGTCTCGATCGCCTTTGCCCAACGATGAGTCAGGTATACTAGTAGATCACCAGCCGAGCGACTCTGACGGAAACCGTACTGGTGGTCACTGATCAGCTGGTGGTCCTCTAGGTACCGCAGGAGCTGGCAATTTATAATGGACTCCATTATCTTGGAGAGCAAGGAGGTGATGGCTATAGGCCTATAATTAGTAGGGAGTGAGCGGTCGCCTTTTTTAGGAATCGGGTGCACTAAAGCTGTCTTCCATGAGTTCGGAACGACACCTAAAGAGTAGGAGAGCCGGAAAAGACGCGTTAGTACCGAACTCAGGAGCACACGTCTTCAGCACAATTGGTGAGATTCCATCTGGCCCACTCGACTCGTGTATGACTAAGGAAAAGAGAGACGCACTAAGCTTTGTGTGAACCGGATATCCGGCATAGAACTCTCACACCGCGGGATGGTGGCGGTATGTATCCCCTGTCATTTAGAGTCGAGTTAGACGCAAAGAGTGAGCATAAATGATCCGCTTTCTCTTTTGCAGTATGGGCCATCGATTCGTCGCCATTGTGCAGGGGTGGAAGGGATGGCTTACAGAAATTTCCTTCAAGAGACCAAAACGCGCGGGTTCCAGAGGGAAGTTTTATTAATCTCTCACCAATGCTGCTAATGTGCTCTGACTTCGCTCTGGCAATTACTCTTTTGCAGGACCTGGAGGCCAAGTTATACTTCTTTTTGAGATCGCTAGTGTTGTTATCCCCGACCGCCGCTGCATTTGCCCAGGTCTGATAACACATCTGTTTTTGGCGAGATGCCAGTTTACATTTGTGACCAAACCAAGGCTGGGATTTGCCACCAATGGGAACCACAGAGGAATGAACAAAAAGTTCCATACCCTGAAGGACAACATCGGCGACAGAATCGGCAGCGACGTTGGGATCATTCTGCGAGAAGCAAACCTGGCCCCAAGGGTAGGATGAAAAGAAAGTGCGCATCCCATCCCAGTCTGCTGACTTATAATGCCACACACGACAGCCAGCAAATTGCGGCCGCGGTGAGTAAGTGAGTGGCACCATACTCCGGATTAGACAATGGTCCGAGGAGCCAAGAGGGGCATCTATGGACACTTTGTAATTATCCGGATGTGGAGTCAGCAGAAGGTCCAACAGTGAAGGTGTATGGTCTTCGACATCTGGGATTCGCGTAGGCGAGGTGACCAGTTGTGTCAGACCATAGGCCAAGGCGAAGTCGTGAGCAGATCTGCCTGCATGATCGGTAGTGGGCGATCCAAGCCATTCGTAGTGGTGGGCATTGAAATCACCAAGGATCACAATTTCGGATGATGGGATCTGCTGAAGCACGAAGTCTGTAGCCACCTGGACGTGATCATAGAGTCGGTCAATTTCGGCATTTCCGCTATGGGACCTGTAGAGGCAGGCGTAGACGCGGGGATGGTCATCGACGTCTACATGCAACCATAAGATGGAGAGGTCCCTACCTTCAAAGTTGCTGAGGCGACGGAAACTGATACCCTCTCTAACGTACACACATACCCCAGCTCGTGGTACAAAGGAATGTTCCAAAGTATACCCAGGGTACTGGAGGTAGGAGGTGTCGGCTGGAGAGGATATCTGCGTCTCAGTCAAAAGAAGCAAGGCCGGCTGCACTGTCTGAAGGTGGTAGTGAACAGCATTAAGGTTGGAGTGTAAGCCCCTGATGTTGCAGAAATCCACGTTAAACGTGGCAGGGGGTGTCGTATGACGCTTGCTCTGGCCTCGAGCACTTTTAGTATTGAGCGCGGTTTCGCCCTCCCCAGAATATGAAGGGCAGCCTCGACGTCCACATCCAGAAGGAAACAGTTCTGGGCATGGACGTCCAGAGGGGGATTCTCCAGCGTGAAAACAGCTGGTATCTCCCTGGGGTATTATGCTATTTAACTGCGCCATCATGAGGAAAAAGGGGGGGGGGGGGGTTGGGCCTCCGGTAGCCTCACTCACTCGGCGAAACACAGCACAAAGTACTGCTTCACGCCGGTATTCTGTGAGGTCGTGGTATTCCTCCGGTCGAGCCGGCCCATTCATGCAGTAGCCTAATTAAGCTACTGTGTGGCTCTCCCACGATAATAATAACATTACTAAAAATAGATAACATTACTAAAAAAAAAGAGACGGGACTGCTGCCTGGTCCGCGTGGAATTTTTTCTTGTAACATTTTCTTTAGATCATTTATTTAGTTTAGGCTGTTACAAGCACTCATGAATGTCTAGAAACTACGTCATCGGTTCGTAAATATGGTGGGAGACCTTGTACTGAGACGAAGCGGGAATAAACTCAGCACGGACTATTTTTAGGGTTCCGTACCTTTAAAGAAAAAAGCGGAACCCTTATGGGATCACTTTGTTGTTCGTCCGTCCGTCCGCCCGTCCGTCTGTCAAGACCGTTTTTCT